GAATTTGTGAAGTATCTATGCTTTGGAAATATTAACAAAGAGTATAAAAAAAGTATAAAAAATTTTTATAAAGGAAATCTTAAACATTTAGTTTATATAGGAACAAGTCTCTATAAGAGTAATTTTAATTTTGAGTTGTCTGAATTAATTTATAGTAATGTAAATGATCAAATATTAAACAACATTTTGAATGAATTCACATGTGAATTGTATAAAAAACATACTAATCAGCTTTTAAAGATAGTGATTAAGAGAGTAAATTTGGATGATTTGAATGCACTTATACTTAAGAATATTGATATATCACAAGTATCAGAAAATAATCTTAGAAAAATATTTAGAATGTTTTATTTTAATCCACTAAATTTTGTTAAATATAAACTCTTTAAACACGGATTTGATATGGATGAAGATATTGCTTTAGAATTAATCAAATCAATGTCTGACTTATATAATGAAGAGTTGTTTAAGGAAGCATCAAAATTAGTAAAGCCATGGACATTCAAAGAAAAAATAACAGAGTTGTTTATAGAAGAGATTATTAAAGATGATACAACTTATCTATTTAAAAGATTTGCACTTGAATATCTTTTACTTGATGGTGTCCAATTACAAATGTTTGTAAAGTTTTGTTTATATATTGCAAATGAAGATGATCTTACTCTTTTAAAGTTTGGTTTAAATATTTTACTAAACTTAAGGTTAAAAAAGAATTACGCAAGTTATTTTTATCTCATAGATCAATGGAAAATGAATAAAAACTTGTCTTCTTTAATAAGAAGAATTTATCCATTAGCAAATCACATTCTTGACAACAAGAAAAAATCTAAAGAAGAATGGTTTAAATTACTTGAAGAAGAAAAAGATCAAGAAGAAAAAACATGCTTAATAGAAATTTATGCTAATTTATTAGAAATAAAATAAAGTTTTTTAATGAACAATCCAAAACCTTTAGAATTAAAACCTGTTCATTTGTTTATTATCTTATTAATTAGAATTTCAGTAGTATTTTTATTCTTATTCATAGCTAGTAACATAACATTTATTTCAACTAACTACACCTGCTACCATCTATTTTTAATAGGTTTTTTAATTAAAAACAACAAGATAGATTTATCATTCTATAGATCACTACTTATTATTACATTACTATCTTGTATGTTAATACCTTTTATTAGTAAGTTTTGAGTTTATTCTAGTAGTATATTTTTAGGCAGTCAGATAATTTATGTCATACTTGGATTAAATTACAGTGTGATTAGAAGATCAATGATTGATAAAAAAATTTCAAGTGAATATAATTTTTCTCTTGATGAAGCACTTATTATGATTAAAATAAGAAAACACTCTGAATATGCTACTTTTCAATATGGAATTGCTACATGTATGATAGGATTGATTAATTATATGACTAAAATTAAAGGGATTATTAATATTATAAATCTTGTTACGATCAGTTTATTTTTATATTTTTACATCCCAGAATTTTTAATCAATTGTTTAATTTACTATTTTTAATAAATATAATTTATTATTCTTAAATAAATCAATCATTTTAAATACAATTTCTGTGTATAATTTTTTAAAATTAAAATTTCAATTTAATTTTAAATCAAAATAACCCCAAAAATGAATAGTTTTAAATTTTTAATTGGTTTTCTTAGAGTAATCACAGCAAGATATGTAATGATAAACCCATATAGTAACTTTGATCTATATGAAGAAGTAAATCAAGATAAAATATTCAAGTTAATGTATGAAAGCACTGGTAAAGTTAAAATTAGCATATATGATCA